GAGGATTGCCTGAGCCCGCAGGTTCAAGACCAGCCTGGGCAACATGGTGAGACCTCGTCTTTACAATTAAAAAAAAAAATTAGCCAGGTGTGGTAACACACACTTCTGGCTACTTGGAAGGCTGAGGCAGAAGGATCGCCAGTGCCCTGTTGGTCAACACTGGGGTGACTATTAGTGTGCTACCGCACTCCAGCCTAGGCGACGGAGTATGACTCCAACTCAAAAAAAATAAAAAATTAAAAATTAAATAAAATCCATACTCCTTAATCTTGCTTGTAAAGCCCATTGATCTGATCTGGCCCCTGCCTTCCTCTCTGAACTCATTTGGAGCATTCTTCCTAATGTCTTCCTCCAGAGGCTTTTCATTAGCTGTTTCTTTCTAATTTAATTAAAAAAAATAAAGACAGAGTCTTGCTATGATGCCTAGACTGGTCTCAGACTCCTGGGCTCAAGCAATCCTCCCGCTGTGGCCTCCTCCCAAGTGCTGGGATTATAGGCATGAGCCACTGTACCCAGCCCAGTTAGTTCTACCTGAAATGCTTTTCCCCCAGAGCTTATGACTGGCTCTCTTTTGGCCATTCAAGTCTCTTCAGAGGCCACCAGATCACCCAATCTGAAATGAGCACTGTCCTTACTTGTCACTTCTCCTTATTTTTATCACAGCATATATGACTGCATGATTGTTTTTTGTTTGATTATTTCCCCCAACTAGAGAATGTAAGTCCTGAGACAGCAGGAACTCTGGGCACTGGAAATGTAGTGCTGAAAAGACAGAATAGTGCTGGGACACTGTAGGTTTTATTAATACATTGCTTCTTGGATAAATGATGTATGAACACGGAAGTATATAAAAAAGTAAAAGTTCTCCCATATCTTCTCTTACCCCCTGTGGTACTTCTCTTATTCCCAGAGGTCGTTCTTGACAGTTTGGCTTATGGCCTTTCAGTCTTCTTAAAAAAAGTTTTTGAGCCGGGCTCGGTGGCTCAGCCTGTAATCCCGTGCCTTTGAGAGGCGAGGTGAGTGGATTGCCTGAGCCCAAGGGTTCGAGATCTGCCTGGGCAACTTGGCGAGACCTCATCTCTACAATAAATTAAAAAATTAGCTGGGCGTGGTAGCGCGCGCCTGTAGTTCCAGCTACTTGGAAGGCTGAGGCGGAAGGATCACCAGAGCCCAGCAGGTCGAGGCTGCGGTGGCCGGGCACTGCACTCCAGTCTGGGCGACATAGTGAGACTCCAACTCAAAAAAAAAAAAAAAGTTTTTGAGCCGGGCGCAGAAGGATCACCTGAACCCAGCAGATCGAGGCTGTGGTGGCCATGAGTGTGCCACCTGAGCAATGGAGTGAGACTCAGACTCAAAAAAAAAAAAAAAAAAAAGATTTTTTGAAGGCATGTGCAAAAATATTGTTTTTCACAAACCACATACCATGAGTATTGTGTATACACATGGATGTTGTTAATAATGAACATGCAATTGCTATATAGGTATATACAATTCTGTAATGTTTTCTGCCATTCTCCTCTCCCTCCCCCTCTTCCCAGCCCTCATGGTAGAACATGAACATCTTTCTACCTCAGTACAGGTGGTCCTTCACTTACGATGGGGTTGGTGTTCTGATAAATCCATGGTAATTTGAAAATACTGTAAGTTAAATGTGTGTTTTTGCGCCAGCATAAAGTCAAAAAACTGTATGTGGAATCATAGTAAGTCAGGGACTATCTATACTTAAAAACCTGTCTCATTCTTTATAATATCTACATTGATCAACATCTAGTTTTATTAAACTAAAATTTGGAGGGGGAACTCTTAAATCCTTATGTGTATGTATGTTAGCTAGCATTTCTCTAGAAAAGGATCTTAGAATCTTGATCCTGGGATATATTCCTTTAAATTTATGATAGCTGCCAAGTTGTCCTCTGGTTTGTTATACTAACTTATATTCCTACTAAATGGTGTGTGAGAGGGCCTATTTTCTTAAACTATTTTTAACTAGGTATTAACATTTTTTTGTTGCCTATCTATTAGTTAAAATTGGTATCTTATTTTAATTTGCACTACTTTTGATTATTTGTGAGGTTGAGGAGCTTTTCATGTTTACTGGTAGTTTGATTTTCTTGGTAAATTTCATCTACTTTTTTTGTAGAATTACTATATATATTCTGGTTAATGTGTACAAAGTTAAAATTTTTTTCTGCATATTTTTTCTTAGCTTTTAACTTAAAAAAAAATCTTAATTTTTCTTTTTCTTTTTTTTTTTTTTGAGTCAGAGTCTCACTCTGTCACCCAGGCTGGAGTGCAATGGCCACTCCTGGCCACTGCAGCCTCGAGCCGCTGGGCTCTGGCGATCCTTCCGCCTCAGCCTTCCAAGTAGCTGGATCTACAGGCGCATGCTACCACACCCGGTTAAGTTTTTGATTTATTGTAGAGATGAGGTCTCACCAAGTTGCCCAGGCAGGTCTCGAACCCGCGGGCTCAGGCAATCCACTCACCTCAGCCTCCCAAGGCGTGGGATTACAGGCTGAACCATTGAGCCCGGCTTATCTTAATTTTTCTTTGATCAGGTCTGTTGGTCTTTTCCTTTTTTGCCCACCTCCCTTCCTCTTTTCCTCCTTCCCTGGAGACAAGATCTTACTCTGTTACCCATACTGGAGTATAGTGGCTTGATCATAGCTCACTGCATCTTTGAACACCTGAGCTCCAAGAGATCCTCCTGCTTTAGCCTCCTGAGTAACTAGGACTACAGGCGTGTATCACCATGCCCACCTAATTTATTTAACTTTTTGTTGAGATGAGGTCTTGTATGTTACCCAGGCTGGTCTCAAACTCCTGATCTTAAGTGATTCTCCCACCTCAGCCTCCCAAATTACTGGGATTACAGGCATGAGGCACATGGTATCCAGGCCCATGTTTTCTTTATACAGCTTCTAAGTTACATGTAAGTCTTAGAAAAGGCCTAAAAGTATCAGGAAAATATTCTACTACATTTGTTTTGTTATAGTTTTTTTTTTTTTTACTTTAATATGTCTAGATTTTTTTTTTTTTTTTTTGGTATGATGTGAAGTAGTAGGTAGTATTATTTTGTAAATGGATAGATGGTTAAATGGTCTCTTTACTGTGCTAAATTCCCATACACATCTGGGGTTGTTTCTAGATCCTCTAGTCTGTTTCATTGACTTATGTGTCTCATACTAGATGTATTTCCTTATTGTAGCTGTACATTTTTATTTTATTTTATTTTTATTTATTTATTTATTTAAGTTGGAGTCTCACTCTGTTGCTAAGGCTAGAGTGCAGTGACACGCTCACAGCCACTGCAGCTTCGACCTGCTGGACTCAGGCAATCCTTCCGCCTGAGCCTTCCAAGTAGTTGGAACCACAGGCATGTGCCACCACGCCCGGCTAATTTTTTTTATTTATTGTAGAGACAAGGTTTCGCCAAGTTGTCTAGGCTGGTCTCGAACCCCTGAGCTCAGGCAGTCTTCTTGCCTCTGCCTCCCAAAGTGCTGGGATTATAGGTGTGAGCCACTGCCCCCAGCCTACTTATTGTAGCTGTACATTTTTAGTACCCAGCAAACCAACTTCCTACCCACCTGACCCAGTTTTTCTTCTTTCAAAAAAAGTATTGAATATTTTCAAGCATTAAATATTCCAGATGTGCTTTAGAATCAGTAAGCCATTAAAGTTTTGACTGCATCTGCAGTGAATTTAAGAGATTAAATTTAATAAATTGGTATGTACCCATTCACAAATAAGAGATCTTTCAGAAAATATTTTATTTTCTGTTTCTTTATTTTCTTTCTTTTTTTGAACCAAAGTCTCTCTCTGTCACCCAGGCTGGAGTGGTGCAGTGGCACGCTCACAGCCACCCTAGCCTTGATCTGCTGGGCTCAGGCAATCCTTCTGAGCCTTCCAAATAGCTAGAACTACCACACCTGGCTAATTTTAAAATTTATGGTAGAGATATGGTCTCACCAGTTGTCCAGGCTGATTTCAAACCCTTGGGCTCAGGCAATCCTTTCTCCTCTACCTCCCAACGTGCTGGGATTATAGACGTGAGCCACTGTGCCCAGCTATTTTCTGTTTCTTAATGCATTTATTCTGTTTTAATTAGACAGCTTATAGCTTTGCAATATTATTGACCATAACTAAAACTGTTCAGAATTGCCAATTTTTATTTATCATGGTAAACCAATATTTACATGCACACATAGTGTCAAATACTGTTGGCTGGTAAAGGAATTTAATTACGATAGGATTTTTTTCTTGTACAAAACTTGGTTGAATCTACTATTGCTTTATGCTTTTCTAGACTAAAATGCTGATGGGTGAAGTGATGAGAGAAGCTGCCTTTTCACTAGCTGAGGCCAAGTTCACAGCAGGGGACTTCAGGTAAGAAGACTTAATGGGGTGTTTTGAAAAAATAAATTGCTTTCAGGTTCATAATTTCATTTAAAACTATTTTAATTTAGAAATTTGTAATCATTAAAGCAAATGATATCGTAATTATAAGGAAGAACATTTATAACTTCATCACCTTAACTCTACATGCATTTTTTTTAACATAGTTGCAGGCACAAGATACTTAATGTTTTATAGTCCACTTTCATTGAACATTGTATCATTGACATTCTGCCTTGTTTTCACATGGTTATATGATCTTTCTCAAGATGTATTTTTTCCTCTTAATGCTGGACCTTTGGGTTGATTCTTAGGTTTTTGGAATATTAGGGACAGCATAGCGAACATCTTCATGCATATGTATTTTTGTTTCTACTGAATTATTTCCTTAGAATAACTTTTTGAGAATTTAATTGGAGTCTCACTCTGTCACCCAGGCTGGAGTGCAGTGACATGCTCCTGGCCACCACAACTTTGACCTGCTGGGCTCATGCGATCCTTCTGCCTCAAGTATTTGGAACTATAGGCATGTGCCACCATGCCTGGCTAATTTTTTGGTTTATTGTAGAGACGAAGTCTCACCAAGTTGCCCAGACTGGTCTTAACCCTTGGGCTCAGTCAGTCCTCTTGCCTCTGCCTCCCAAAGTGCTGGGATTACAGGCATGAGTCACTGCACCTGGCTGAATTGGTTATTTAAAAGGCATAGACTTTATAGCTTTTGTTATGTCAATAAATGCTTTAAAAAGCATATAAAATGCTTTGCAAACTGGTTATATCAATTTACATATGTTATACGATTCTCCCAATAATCCTATAAGGCAAACATTAATATTCTCTGCTTATTTGTTTGTTTATTTTTGAATTGGAATCTCACTCTGTCACCCAGGCTGGAGTATAGTGGCACAGCCACCACAGCCTCAACCTGCTGGGCTCAGGTGAACTTTCCTCCTCAGCCTTTCAAGTAGCTGGAAGTACAGCACTTGCCAGCATGCCTGGCTAGTGTTTTGATTTATTGTAGAGATGAGGTCTTGCCATATTGCCTAGGCTGGTCTCAAACTTCTGGGCTTAGGCAGTCCTCTTGCCTTGGCCTCCCAACTTGCTATGATTACAGGCATGAGCCACCATGTCCAACAATATTCTCAGCTTAAATTAAATGCCTTTCTGAAGTCATTTGGCTAATTAGGGTAGGAGGTGTAAGTTGTTTTCAGGGTTTTTTATGTTAGTTGTCTTTTCCCAGTGATATGATGCCTCTGTTCTTAGTTCATATTATCCATGAATTTTCACAGTAGCAGGCCTTAATAAGGCCCTTGGAAGTGGTAGACTATTTTGTGCCAATGCTGGTAAGATAACAGCTTGCATTGAATTTTCTAGCAGAGGGGGGAAATCAGTAGTGTGTAAGTGGTATGTAAGTGTATTTAGGGTGGCGATGAGGAAAGCACTTAACTTCATGATAACAGTTGTGGAATCAGACGAAGCCAGATGGAAGTTAGATAGCTTCCAGGGTAGAGGAATTGAATGCTAGCTTTGCCAACTGAAGAACAAAGCTAGAAGAAGGAAAGTTTCCTCCATATTACACAAACAGAATAAGAATCCCTGAATTTATGTCCGTGGACCACATGTCTGTCTGAAAACAGGCAATCCACACACTTTAACATCATTCTGTTTTCATGTTTTTTTACTGCAAATATTTTGAATATCATTCATCCTCTGCTCTCTGAGACCCTTCTCTGACAGTAGTGATTTTGCTCCTTTTCTGGAATAATGACAGTTATCTTATTCTTGGTCTCATTTAATGTTGAAACTATCCAAGGGGTCCTTAGGTTTATTTCTAAAAAACACAACTAATTAAAGGCTTTTCCTTTTTCTGCAGCACCACAGTTATCCAAAACGTAAATAAAGCTCAAGTGAAGATTCGAGCAAAGAAAGATAATGTAGCAGGTAACTTTTCAACCTTTTGGAACTCTTTGTGGAGAAAAGAGGTGACATTTTAAGATTAACCTGTTTATACAGCAAGATCTTAATGTCCCAGTTTTTCTCTTTACTTAGAACAAGTTGATTGGCTTTACATGTTAAAACTATTAACAACCAGGGTCTTATTACTCAGGATAACTTGGCTTTTTAACAGAAATAGACACTTAAAAAGGCAGGCTCCTAAATTCATTAATTGAAGTCAATGACAATTCCAGACTTAATCCCTTGACTTTTGAGTATTTGATGAAAAAGAAACAGATGAAACAGTGATTAAGAAACAGTACTTCAGAGTCATGTTTGTGAGTCCATATACATGTTTGTGTTTCACAGGTGTTACTTTGCCAGTATTTGAACACTACCATGAAGGAACTGACAGTAAGTGTGAAACTTTGATACTAGTGTGTGTCCCTGGGATCTCCTGTTTCCTCTTCAAATGAACTTTGTTCTGGAGAATGGTGCTTGGTAGACTTTAGAGTTTAGAAGTTTCAATATTAGAAGCCCTCTTATCTGACACTGTCAGGACAATAGTTGATTGGTTAATCAAAAGGTTTTATGGTAGGAAGTCATAAACTTTGTATATGTCTTACAATATTTTATTCCAACCTAGAAATATATCATTGTACAGTCATTTGCCATTTAAAAAATATAAGGCCTTTTCTTTGAGTGTGAATCCACTGATTAGACTTCTGAGCTTTCTTTCTGCCTACACTACACCCATAATGCATTGCCTGAAATTTCCAGTTTAGGTTTCTTTAACATAGAATAAGATCTTAGACACTATAATGTAATATGAATGCCGACTCATTTCATAGGCCATGCCTGATTTTTTGTAATTGTCTCACTCATTCCATTCCTGGACAGAATTTTTTTGCCAGTAACACATATTTATTGCGTCTTGTATCTTTCCAAAGTAAGTAATTAACTTTTTTTCAGAGAAACAACAATATTCTTTCTTTTGGCACTTATATTTCATTGCTTCATGTAATATTTAATTAAATTATATATAGAATATTAGGTACTCATATGAAGTAGAGTATTGGAGAGTTACCTCTTAACAGAGAGTATCACAGTACTGAGGGCATCAGGCAGTATGATTTTCAAAGGGAAGTGGTGGCCACTGGCTGGTGAAGGGGAGGTTGGTTAAAAGCTTCTCCTATGTTTATGTTTAGAAGAGTATCCTTGTGGAAAACTATTTAGCAGACACGCCTATGGTATTTGGAGAGTGAAATGGGCACTTCATGTTTGCATTTCAAAGGGCTTAGTGAATTTGTCTTTCTATGTTTGGCATTATTTGGAATTACCTTTTCTATGGGAATTTTATGGGAAGATTATTTACTCTCATTCTAAATGTCATCTGACTGGTTCTTTCAGGCTATGAACTGACGGGTTTAGCCAGAGGTGGAGAACAGTTGGCTAAGTTAAAGAGGAATTATGCCAAAGCAGTGGAACTACTGGTGGAACTGGCTTCACTGCAGGTAAGTAGCAGGAGAGCTAGAGCACTCCAGTTTGATTTCCAACAGAGGAGAGGAGAGACCTTATAAAGACAGGGTCTTGAATGAGAGCATACTGTGCTTTGTGCTTTCAGCTGTTTCCATGATCCTATGTGAAACTAGCCTCATATTTTGATTTCTGAAATGGTGGCTTTCGCACTATTGTCCCCGCTTTTTATTATTAATACAATATACATTTTGTACCATTTGTACAATGGTATAGTTTCACTCTTTGCTAGGTGAGAACACCTACAGTTTATACTAGATTTAAATGCAAATATATCATGGTTTGTGCATGAAGGCCATCTTTTTGTCCTTTGTGGCCAGTTAGTATATATCTAGGCTATTAGTGCTTGTCATTTTTTTTGTCTTTATTTGGGCGAGTCTGAGTAAACAAATTATAGTAGTGTCGACCAAAACTAAGGCTATTGAGGCAGAAATAATTTGGTAAGGGTTTATTCAAAGTCAAATGTGAGGATCAACTTGGGAAGACACACCACCAAAGCTGGGTGTGTTCCAGAGTCTTCTACAAGTTGGAAGGTTTTTATGGGACTCTTAGAAGGAAAGAGGACTCTTCCTATCCAAGTTGTCCTTTTCATTGGAGGGTGCAATACAGAGGTTACAGTCATTGGCTACAGATTATAACATACAGGCTAATGTGTTCTACATGCAAGATAGTCAGTAAAACTTAATGCCTCAGAAACAAATCAGTGTCCTTTTCAATATCAGTAAGTTATGGATTGGTCAGTACGTCAACAGTTGGAGGAAATCAGGGATAGGATGTAAGCCATGAGTCCTAAGACCATCCCTAGGTGGGTTAGTTTGGAAGCTTACCAAATGTGGCCTGTAGGGTTATCAATAGCATGGAAATAGTGTTAGCTCTGTGGAAATGTCACAAGAATTTGTTTTGAGTCACGGTCTCACTTGTCACTCAGGCTGGAGTGCAGTGGCATGATCATAGCTTACCACAACCTTGACCTCCTGAGCTCAGGCAGTCCTTCTGCCTCCGCCTCCCGAGTACCTGGGACTACAGGCACATGTCACCACACCCAGCTAATTTTTTGTGTTTTGTAGAGATGAGGTCTCCCTATGTTGCTCAGGCTGGTCTCAAACTCCTGGGCTCAAGTGATCCTCCTGCCTTGACCTCCCAAAGTTGTGAGCTACCACGCCCAGCCTAAGAATTTTGTTTTTGTCTTGCTTCCCAAATGTTTTCTACAAGTACAGTCTGAGTGGAGTCAAGTGATCAGGTCATGATTAGGAAGACTGTGTGCTTACATTATTAATTTGTCCTTTTGTTTAGACTTCCTTTGTTACTTTGGATGAAGCTATTAAGATAACCAACAGGCGTGTAAATGCCATTGAACATGGTGAGTATGAGCTGCTGTGGGGTGCTATGTTCAGATATTTGTCCACCCCTCCCCCCTCGTCATGCAGCTGCTAGGACTCAGGAACTGCTAGATTGAAGGTGGTAATACACTATCCCTGCTGACAGCGCAGAGAAGTGTGTCCTAGTACGAGAGTGTTATGAAATGTATAGACAGAAGTATATGATTTGGGGGAGTTACAGGGGAAATGGTAGTTACAAAGTAGGTAATGTTCTGTTCATTTCTAGTTATTCTTGCAGTTAGTAAAGTGTAGAAACAGTATTTTTCAAGAGCTATGGTGTTTTCTTTCTTCCTAATGGTTGAGTGATACATCTTTTTGAATACTAAATATTTAACTTCAAATCCCTCTCCTTTAGGTCATTCTCCTTGATTTCTAAAAATAAAAAATTTCCCATTTGATGCACTTATTTTCTATCTCTTTTATATCATTATTTAAAAAATATGACTGCTTAGTGTTGATAGTACTTTTTGCTCAAGAGGCTCAGTTTTATTAAAGAAATATTTCCTCAATTTTAGGTAGTAGAAGAGCAAAATTTTAAACAAAGGAATTCCTTTGCTTGGGGCTAAATATTAGTATTATACAGGAAGGTATCTCATTTCTTTTTTAACTAAAAAACACATTTCTTAGCCGGGCTCGGTGGCTCAGCCTGTAATCCCGCGCCTTTGGGAGGCTGAGGTGAGTGGATTGCCTGAGCCCACAGGTTTGAGACACACCTGGGCGGCGAGACCTCATCTCTACAATAAATCAAAAAATCAGCTGGGCGTGGTAGTGCATGCCTGTAATTCCGGCTACTCGGAAGGCTGAAGCAGAAGGATCGCCGGAGCCCAGCAGGTCGAGACTGTGATGGCCGGGAGTGGCCACTGCATTCCAGTCTGGGTGACAGAGTGAGACTCCAACTCAAAAAAAAAACCAAACACATTTCTTGATTGCTAGTTCCAGGCCTTGTACATGAAACTTTAAGCAAAACAAAATGGGTAAGGTTAATAGTTCTCACCCTCATGGAGTTCATACTCTAGAATCAGAATAGGCAATTTCTCTATAAAGTAGAGCCCAGTGACTGACAGAAACTCAATTTATTGCACTCTCTGCTCGATTTTTTTAGCAGCTGATTGCTACTATGTTTAAAATAACATCTGTTGTTCCATGTTATATATGCATATACGATCAGCATATTCAGTGTTGTGTGTCCACTGTGGTCCAAGATGTTATCTGTGCAGAGAAAAAAGAGCACACACCATATTTACAGTAGTTGCTTTTGTGTGGTTGGGTTATACTCCATTTTAATTTTTTTGTGTGTGTTTTTATTTTTCAAGTTCTCCACATTAAGTGTACATTAATTTTACAATTAGAAAAAATAGGGCTGGGTGCAGTAGCTCATGCCTGTAATCCGAGTACTTTGGGAGGTGGAGACGGGAGGATTGCCTGAGCTCAGGGGTTGGAGACCAGCCTGAGCAACATGGTGAGACCTTGTCTCTACAATAAATAAAAAAAATTAGCTGGGTGTGGTAATGCATGTCTGTGGTTCCAGCTACTTGGAAGGCTAAGGCAGAAGGATTGCCTTAGCCCAGGAGGTCAAGGCTGCAGTGGCCATGAGCATGTCCCTGCAATACAGAGCCTGACAACAGTGAGACTCCAACTGAAAAAAAAAAAAAAAGAAAGAATAGCTATTACACAAATGAACACAAATGAGCACTGGTAATTTGATAAAAGGGGTTTGAAGTTCTCAGTGTACTTATTTTTTAAATTCTAGTCATCATTCCCCGGATTGAACGTACCCTTGCCTATATCATCACGGAGCTGGATGAGAGAGAGAGAGAAGAGTTCTACAGGTTTGCTGAAATTGGCAGTTATTGTTTGTTGTCATTTCATATTTCAGAGGGTTGATTTGCTGAGTTACTAGTTGGTTTATGGATTAGCACAGGTTATATTTTATTCTGGTAAATAAGAAATATTACCAAAGGTTGTAGAGACAAATCTGTCAAGTTATGCATATATCTATAAGATGGAATTCCAAAACCTTAGGCCTTTCAGAGACTAATAAAACTTGATAATTCTTTAAAATGAAATGATAATTTAGATTGGGTGTCTCCTACATAAAAACTGAGGGGAGAAACTAGAAGTAATCTGTTAATCAACAAATATGTATTTCATGTTGACTATGTTCAGGAGAAGGTAAAATGAACTTGAAGGCATTACCAAATAGTTTAAATTGTACCATGAGAGAATTAGCACAGTACTTGGAGGAAAATGATGCATGTCCTTGAATTGGCTATGAATATTTAGAATCAAGAGGAATAGATACTAAATTGGTGGTGTTTTGGGGTCGGTATACCCAGTTCAGAGAAGTGGGAGGTAGGTGAAGGCAGGAGTATTTAGGGAAGACATGGCAGTCTTAGACCTTGACTTAGCATTTAATGATGACTTATGATCTTAATTATCAAAGATTATTTAGTTTCTGCCCTTCAGTGGTGTTCAGGGCTGGGGTGCTCGAAAATTTTAATGAGTGCCTGAATGTTTAAAATCTTTCCCATTAGGGAATGGATTTCAAAATATATTTAACCTGAGTTAGGCGTGTCTGAAATCAGTTATTAGCATAAAATCATATATTGTTTGTTTAAAAATAGTTTGTCAATAATTTCTGAAATTGAAATTAATAGAAGTCTCAAATTTTATTCTAAAGGTGTTTATTGCAAAGATAGAGGAAATCAAATTTACTTAATACTGAACAGTGTTCAAAAAATTCCCTCCTTTATTTTACAGGTTAAAGAAAATACAGGAGAAGAAAAAGATTCTCAAGGAAAAATCTGAGAAGGACTTGGAACAAAGGCGAGCAGCTGGAGAGGTGATGGAGCCTGCTAATCTTCTGGCTGAAGAGAAGGATGAGGACCTTCTGTTTGAATAATCTTCCTGTTCTGGTTCTTTCAGAAACCCTAATACTGGTTCCATTTTACTTCACAGTGTATAGGTTTGATTTGTGTGGCTATTTATTTTTGGCCTGAGAATTTCACTGTTTGTAAAATTTACCTGGATGTCTATTTATGGGATTACTTTGGCAGATTCACAATTCAGCAACCATTTATCACAGATGAGATTTGTAAGGCCTGCCCAGGAACTTACAGAATTTACTCTGCAGAAGTGTTACCTTACTCCATCTACGTCTGTTACATGTGATCTGCTTACCAAGTGTATTAGGATATCCCCTTAGGAATCATTAGTGGTCTCAGGCCAACTTCTGTGGAGCAGCCTTCATTTGTACCTGTTCGCAAACCTTGGCGCTATTGTCACCATGGTACTTCTCAGGCTTGATGGAAACCTTATTTTTCCTTGCATGACAGGTCTGTGTCTTGTCTGTCAGGGGAGTTCAGCCAACTTCAATGTGACTATGGTATATACATAGTAAAATGATTTAAAAATAAGTTATTATTTTTTAATTTATTTACTGCTAAGAATGCCGTGTTCTTATGCTCAGATCAGCACACAGTATTGCCATCCACAGAGCTTTCTCTGCAGACATGTAGGAAGTAGGGGCCTTTACCCCTTCATATATCAGTTTTACTAAAACTTTGAAACTTCCATTTTGGGGTACTGCTAAATGATTGCCAATGAGTTAAGAGGGCTTCATAATACTTCCTTCTTTCCTAATCGCGAGACCTCATCTCTACAATAAAAATAAAAAACTTAGCTGGGTGTGATAATGTGTGCTCGTATTTCCGGCTACTTGGAACGCTGAGGTGGAAGGATTGCCGGAGCCAAGCAGGTCGACGCTGGTGTAGGTGTGAGCGTGCCACTGCACTCCAGCCTGGGCGACAGAGTGAGACTCCAACTCCAAAAAACCAAACAAAACCGAAAAAGACTAATTCCCATTTTGGAGTGATATGGTAACTATAAAACATACATATTGTCTTAACCCCCTATTTCACAGAGGAAAAATTTAGGCATGAGGAGCTTGAGTAATTGGTCCAAGGTTAATAGCCAGAAAGTGGTGAATCCAGGATTTAAATCCAAGCAGTCTACCTTCAAAGTTTTTACACCCTAGCTTTTTACCTTTAAGTCAGAGGGCCTGCTCTGGAAAAGCTGTTTTTAGGAAATCCAGTTGCTGCTCACAGAATAAAATCTCAGGTGCAGAGTAAATTCAAGAATGACGGGAAAACCAACAACTGAGTTCCCAAGTATTTTAAAAATCGGTAACATTGAGCTGTTTACCATCTAATCTTCCCAATACCCTAATGATATGTAAATTATACCGTCTCCATTTTGCAGGTGAGAATATTGAGGCTTTAATAGGTCAAATCACACAGGTGGAATGCAAGTCAAATGTATCTTGATTTCAGAGCCTTGGTTTTAAATTAGTTTGAAGGTGGGAATAGGGAGCCAGATTGCTTTAGTGGTTTTTCACTTAGGTAAATTTAGCGTTCACCTTAAAGCAGTAAGGCAGAGGACCCTAGATTTCTCCTGTGGTTTTGTAAAGCTCTGGAATTTACTGGCCTTGGTTAAAATACTAAAAGACAACTTTATAGTTTAAAATTTGTTAAAAAAAAAATCAAGAGAAAATAGTGGACAGATCATTTGATGTGTGCAGCTGGAGTGATCTGATCCACAGGGGAAGGAGACAGACCAGGTGTGTGCATGTGTGAAACTTGTTGGTACATGATTTATATCCTTTGGGAGATACAGAGCAGAAAAAAGGGGAGAAATGAAGAATGGAAAAAGAGTGTATTATATATTTGCCATCAACTCACACGCTGTCCTCAGTATCCTCAAATCCCAACTGCAGAAAAGGTCAATTTGCCTGAGTATTAATTACATACCTCTTTCCCCAGAAAACCTTCAGGTTCACATCCTAAAGTTGTCCACCTTTAATAAACTTTGTTTTAATAATTAAGAAAACAGAACCTGCCTACATCTGTGCCAACATGGGGTACTCCCTCACTTGAACAAATTAAAAGGTATTTTGTGTTGCATCCAGAGGTTGCAATGGTCTTGCTTCTGGCAAAAACTTGGAAGAGTATGTATGTATGGAAACCTTGAATGGCAGAGGATATAATACAGCAAGAGAAAGTACTCAGTGGCTTTTTAAACTTGAAATATAATTTTACTTTTTATTTTTACAATACAGTGTGCAGTATGACATCTCAAAATAACAGAGTGCAGATACAGGATAAGAGTACAAAGGGGGATTAACAACAGATGTCCAAATGTTACCTTTATTAAGGCTAAATCCCTGGTTTATATTTTCCACACATTCACAAAATTACATTCAAATCATTCCTTACCAATACTTATTCCTTAGGCCATGAGAAAAGGAAAATAATCCAGACATTAGATTTTCATAGAAAGCAAATCTGGATTAGTCTAAATAATATTCTCCTTCCATTTGTTCTGACTTATGAAAATTTAGGAAATAAAGGTATTTCAGTAATTAGATTTTCCAAGTACATTTCATTAGCCGTTGGTATCATTTTTACAGTAAGTGGTTAAGACTTCCTCCAGTCAGAACCAAGGAGGGACAAGAAGTGGAACTGGCCAGAGTGGCTATACAACTGCATGTATAGCAAGTCTTCTGTATTCTTTTGAGGACATCAGCAACAACTCAAGTTTTCACTTTGTTTAGGGATTGTGTTGAATATCAGCACATCCTTATCACTAGGATTTAGAAAAGTTTGGGACATTTCTTTCTACTCTCGCTGATAAGGAAGCAGAGAATTATGGGACCTCACTGACCCTGAAAATATGTCACCCTAGAATTCCTAAAAGTATGGCATGGGCATACAAGATCTGCTTATTAAAGCCATATGCCTGAGTCCTGACAGCACATGGCCCTAGTGCAGGTCTATTGTCTACAGTGGCACCACAGCCACTCACTGACACTACCTACAACCTCACTAACAATATGAACCGTCCCTATTTTAGATCTAGGGGCTGAAAACAATTGTCAGTTACAATAAGCAGATCACAAAACTCCACTGTCAACCATGAACTACCTTTCATTCCTGAGAAGAAAGTAAACTGGAAAACTGATAAGATTAAGTGCTAAGTATATTCCTTAGTTTTCAATGCTAAAAATCAGTGTGACCTTTGTTTGAATTTTCCTGCTAGAAGCTGGAGTGTTTCAGAGCTTTGAACAGACAGTATGTATGGCATTCCTCCCCTCAACCCAGAAATGTTACTTACTTCCTAAGGAACATTATCTTGAAAATATATTCACACAAGACACACTCCCCAGTCAACTTAATAGGCCATGCAAAATTTAAAAGAGAAAAAAGGCAACATATAAACTGTCTACACTGGCTCAAATAAAATTACATAGAAGAGGAGAAAATCAAATATATACATGACACTGAGACAAACTACTCATTAAACACAATAGCTTATGTTAAATTAAATGACAGGTCAGTATTATTCCAGTGTTTAGCTCTGGGGAGAGGAAATACTGTAGCTGAAGTCACCATAAAAAGACAATCAAGGCATTCACATTTGAAGTTGTTTGTCACACATCACACTTTCCTTAAAGGCCTGAAAAGCCGCCTACAAATTAACTTTCCATGCCAATTACAGACGTTGAATTTTAAAGCTACAGCTATAGAGACAGTACAAAAATCCCATTAGCTTAAACCTGTCATGATTTAGCAAGCTGTTGTATTCTGGTCATAAGAGGCAGAACTTGTGGGAATAAAAACCTATTTCTATAGGCTTAATACCTTTTTCTCCCCAGTATTCTGTTCCTAAAATGTTCAAATGACTTTCAGATCTTCCTTTCCTTCTGATCTCAAAGTCAATTGTCATAGTGTTTCCCTAAGACATAAATAATTTTATTCCAATGCTGAACAGTGTTACCAGTGACCATTTGTTGATCTATTAAATATTAGTATAGAGTACAGCAGAAGAATTCCAGTTTATTACCTACATATATAGCAGTCGTAGGCTTATACTGTGCTCATATATAAAAATGCAAATCTGTCAAATGTGCTATGTCCTCCTATGTATATAAAAATGTTTGCATCATGAGGAAGAAACTTTATCAGTCAACACTGTTTATATGAACATCTGCCATTCATAAAATATAATTTATACATTCTATTATACTATACAGATCAAAGAAAAGAAGCAAGGTTAGCAAATCGGTTGTGACGATTTAAGAAAAAATACAGATAATCATTATGTCTTTAAAAAGACCAGCATATTTTGTATAACGTTGACTCATTTAGGGTCTGCTGAGTGTACAGTCTGATTCAGAAAGTTTGAGCGAAAAGAACCGGTGCTTCTCATGGATTTTTTTTTTTTTTTTTTAAGAATTAAAAGACATTCAAATGACTTCAAGTCTAACAAAGTAGCTCCAAACCAAGGTGTCACCATTTTGTTTTTTCTTTTTTAGGAAGGTATTTCTGATGACTAAATTAGTCTCCTAAGCAAATGCTGTCTGGCCCATGGCATAAAAGCACAGTCTGCTCCTATCCTAAAATATTCTCATGTAGTCATTTAAGAGTTAAACAACATCAGTAATTATATGAGACATGGACTCCTGTGTACATACACACAAGTTTCTCATGGAAATATGACTAAGCAGGAAAGATTTAGTTAGGTGAAAACAAAAGGTTTTAACAGCATAAAATGGAACTGCTCTTTGAAAGCTTCCATTTGGAATCCCCAAATGAGGCAGAAACCTCTAAAGCTTTGTAAAGCAAACAAAGAATGCTGTGTACAAATTGCCTAAGGGGCCTTTCTTCTCAGAAGCTGGAGAGATCTAAGACCAGGTGTACAGCTTATTCAGCTGCCTCTGCCTTGCTCAAGTGTCAGGTTGTCTTCCTATTGGTAGTTTGCCAGATCAAGTTCAACATGCCGTAGAATGGATGCTTCCTTCACCTCAGCCAAGTGGACGGCACCCACTGAGGTTCCGTATCAAGTTTGTTTATTAGCCTAAGCAGTTCCTGATAGGCTTTATCAAGATCTGAATTCACAATTGCTGTGTCGAAGTAGTGGCCATTGTTCTGCTCCATCTCTCTAGTCTTCTCAATGATTTCTCTCAACTCTTCAGGCTGCAAAGAGACAAGAACTGTGAGGTGATTCCTATCCTAACTCAAATAGAGGATGAGTCAGAGATGGCCAAAGAACAGGGAGTGACCTTCCCAGTTCTCCTTCTGTTTCTCAAATACTTGCCGTCAGGAGCTCCTTTCTAACGGTCATGGCCAGTGGTTTCCTTTGCTTTGACATCTACGGGATTCACATTTTGAGTCCTTTGAGATTTGATATATCCTGTTTTATACCACTATTTTGATTTTCCTGTATCTCTGACTTATCTTACCAACAAGACTACCAGTTTCAAGAGCACAGACTTACTTGGCATTCCTTACAAACATTTGCTTTCAAACATTTTAGGGCATCACATCTTCCTAACGGTAATATCTCTGTAACAAAGAGTGAACCTTTCTGGTTGGAGCAAGGACCTAAAACATCATCTACTCTTGGCTCTGGTTAAGCGACCTCGTCCTTTATATCTGTTGCATGGAATTAGGTAGACATTATGGGGGAAAAAGGGATCAACAGGATGGATATCTTTTTCTATGAAAACTGCTGGTCCGCCCAAGATTTGAAAACCTCATCTGTATTCTGGGAGGAAAATACTCAGCTTAACACTTTAAACTGCTGCTCTGTTTTCAATACACAAAGGAGGTCGTTAAGATGCAAAACAGTATCCTATCAGGATTTGGAAAACTATACAGAGCAACCCACTTTAAAATACTCAGTAAAGGAAAGGGCTGTTTCACATGGATGGGCAGGCAGCAAGGGTATGTGCAACACTGATCTCAAACCCTCTGATTATCAGGCATGTGTGTTCAAGAAAGCAAAACTGCCCCATATCACTCTGACCAATGAACAGAACTAATTAAATCCAAGAGCAAATGTCTCAGGTGCAAAAGTCACACATTAATACCATATTGGACCCACAATACAAAACAATTTACATCTTTCAATGGCTTTAACTTCTGTAATAGCAGCAAAACATATTAAAAATATAACAACTCTTGCTTGTCCTGAGGCAGTTTCTTATAAGGTTCTCTAATTTTCATTCAGGAATGTCATGCATCTGAATGTGGTACACAGACTCCTTTGTTTCCTAGCAGGGACTCTACTTTACTACTGTAACTGTACACAGTGTAAATTTTTGCTAAAACTTATGCTTATTCAAAACTCAAGATTACTGAAACAACATTCCAGGACTCCACATAGAATTGAAACTTTGTGGTGCAATGTAAATGCTAAGCCCCAAACCACCTAGTTTTTATCAAATTTAAGGCATTATCATTTCCTTTTATGCCAAAATGACTTATATCACTTATTTACTACTTTATGTCTGAATTTCTCTATTAAGTTACAATCCACAATTCAGATGAAACAAAATGTTTGAACTCAAAATTTTTTGAACTGAAAAAATTAGCTGACAGGCAAAACTGACCATAAGTTCACACTGTCCGTCAACCACTCTCAAGTCCTCACATTAGCAGACCAGATTCAGAGATTTAGAGTACAATCAGATAACACTGAGTGATTATATTCTGCGTCCAGTAACACCATCACTTTCTTAGCTAGCACAATTTAATAGAGTTTAAGTTAAAAATTTGTTTTTACTCAAAACTTCCATTGTGTGAGTAATAAAGCACTATTAGAAATACTGGCCGGGCTTGGTGGCTCAGCCTGTAATCCCAGTGCTTTGGGAGGCCGAGGTGAGTGGATTGCTTGAGCCCGCGGGTTCAAGACCCACCTGGGCAACTTGGCGAGACCTCATCTCTACAATAAATAAAAAATTAGCCGGGTGTGGTAGTGCGCATCTGTAATTTCAGCTACTTGGAAGGCTGAGGCGGAAGGATCGCCGGAGCCCAGCAGGTCGAGGCTGCGGTGGCCGGGAGCGGCCACTGCACTCCAGTCTGGGCGACAGAGTGAGACTCCAACTCAAAAAAAAAAAAAAAGAAAAGAAATACCAAAGGAGAAAAAAAACAAGTGGAATAAAAAAATCAGATACACCACCCTCTACCCAACAACTATAGAAAATACATTCTTAGGCCGGATATGGTAGAGCTCAAGCCTATAATCCCAGCACGTAGGGAGGCCGAGACGTGAGGATTATCTGAGCCTGCAGGTTCGAGACTAGCCTAGGCAACATGGTGAGAACTCGTCCCTACAATAAATAAAAACATTAGCTGGGCATGGTAGTGTGCGCCTGTAGTTCCGGCAACTTAGAAGGCTGAGGTGTAAGGATCACCTGAGCCCAGCAGGTCGAGGCTGTGGTGGCCTCGAATGAGACTCCTACTCAAAACAAAAAAAAAGAAAAAAAAAAAAAAAAAGAAAATACATTCTTACAGGCATGCATGAAACATTCACCAAGAAATAACAGATGTTGGGCCATAAAGTAAAAGGCTCAACAAATGTCAGAAGACTAACATCTTTCAGGGTCTATTCATTGACCTCACGGGATAAGTTTTTTCAAATAGGTGGAAATTACATAACATACTTTCTAAATAACCCAAGGGTTAAAGAAGAAAACAACAAGAGAAATTACAAAATATTTCTAACAACAAATATAACATTAAAACTTGTTGGATACTTAGAGGAAAATTTACAATTTTTTTTTTCTTTTTTGAGTTGGAGTCTCACTCTTGCAGTGGCATGCTCCTGGCCACCGCAGCCTCAACCTTCTGGGCTCAGGTGAACCTTCTGGTTCAGCCTTTCAAATAGCTGGAACTACAGACGCATGCCACCATGCCCAGCTGGTTCTTTTTGGTATGTGTGTGATTTATTGTAGAGACGAGGTCTCACCCTGGTCTTGAACCTCCAGGCTCAGGCAATCCTCTCACCTCAGCCTCCCGAAGTCCGGGCTCAGGCAATCCTCTCACCCTGGCCTCCCAAAGTGCTGGGATTACAAGCTAAAACACCACGCCCAGCTGAAATTTATAGTTTCAAATGCCTATATCTAAAAAAAAAGATTTAAAAATCATCTAAGTTTTCATCTTCAGAAATTAGAACATGTGCAAATCAAAGTCAAAGTAAAGATAAAGAAAAAAAAGGGTAGAAACAAATTAAGACAATAAACAAACAAAAAAAGACAAAAGCTCTTCAAGTTAGTTCATTTTCCAAAGTGCTTGGTTATTCTTTTGAATTTCCATATCAATTTTAAACATTTCAATTTCGACAGAAAATCTTACTGGGATTTTTGGAGTTTTTTGTCTGTCGACCAGGCTGGAGTGCGGTAGCATACTTGCAGCCACAGCAGCCTTGCCCTGATGGGCTTAGGTGATCCTTCCACCTCAGTCCTCCAAGTACCTGAACTAAGGCATGTGCCACCATGCCCAGCTAATTTTTTGATTTATTGTAGAGACAAGGAGTTGCCAATTTGCCCAGGCTATTCTTGAACCCCTAGGCTCAGGCAATCCTCTCACCACTGCCTCCCAAAGTGCTGGGATTATAGGCCTCTGTGCACAGGTCCCCTTTTTTTTTTTTTGAGTCAGAGACTTGCTTTGTCACCCAGCCTGGAGGGTAGTGGCATGGTCATGGCTTACTGTAGCCTCGACCTTCTGGACTCAGGTGATCCTTATGCCTCAGCCTCCATGTAGCTGGGACTATTGACAGGTGCCACCATGCCCTGCTAATTTTTTGCAGGGACAAAGTCTCAATATGTTGTCTAGGCTGGTGTCAAACTCCTGAGCTCCAGTGATCCTCTTACGTTAGTCTCTCAAAGTGCTGGGATTACAGGTATGAGCCACCACATCTGGACTTTTTTTTTTTTTTGAGGCAGGGTCTCAATCTGTCACCCGGGCTGAGTGCAGTGGCACTATCACAGCTCACTGCAACCTCGACCTCCGGGGCTCAGGTGATCCTTGCCTTAGCCTCTCAAGTAGCTGGGACTATAGGTGTACAAAACCACACCTGGCTAATCTTACTTTTTTTGTAAAGATGAGGACTCGCTATGTTATCTAGGCTGGTCTCAAACCCCTAGACTCAAGCAATCCTCTTGCCTTCACCTCCCAGAGCTGGAATCACAGGCATGAACCACTGTAACCAGTCCAGATTTTTTTTTTGGGGGGGAGGGTAATAGCTTTCATATAATATGAAATTTACCCATTTAAAGTATACGATTCAGTAATTTTAAGTATAGCCACAGAATCGTACAATTGACACCACAATCAATTTTAGAACATTTTCATCACCCCACTCCTCTGTCCTCACAGAAACCCATACCCAATTAATGGGTCACTTACTTTTTTCTCCCAAGCCTCAGTTCTAGGCAACCACTAATCTACTTCAGATCCTACACAGATTTGCCTACGCTGAACTTTATTAAAATTATACATTTCTGGAGGTTCGGAGTGGTGGTTCATGTCTGTAATCCCAGCACTTTGGGAGGCAGAGGCAGGAGGACAGCTTGAGGTCAGGAGTTTTAGACCAGCCTGGACAACATAGGAAGATTGTCTTTTTTTTTTTGAGTTGGAGTCTCACTCTGTCACCCAGACTGGAGTGCAGTGGCCGCTCCCGGCCACCGCAGCCTCGACCTGCTGGGCTCCAGCGATCCTTCTGCCTCAGCCTTCCAAGTAGCTGGAACTACAGGCACGTGCTACCACGTCCGGCTAATTTTTGATTTACTGTAGAGATGAGGTCTCGCCAAGTTGCCTGGGCGGGTCTCGAACCCGCAGGCTCAGGCAATCCACTCACCTCAGCCTCCCAAAGCACAGGATTACAGGCTGAGTCACCGAGCCCGGCCAGGAAGACTGTCTTTACAAAAAATAAAATACAATGCATTAGCCAGGAATGGTGGCACAAGCCTGTAGTTCTAACTACTCAGGAGGCTGAGGCAGGAAAATTGCTTGAGCTTAGGAGTTCAAGGCCGCAGTAAGCTATGTTCACACTACTCTATTCCATCCTGGGTCACAGAGCAAGATTTCATCTCTAAAAACAAAAACAAAAACAAAAAAAGAAAAAACTTTCTGATGTTCAAAAGATACTGTTTTAAAAAGATACAGACACTTGGAGAAAATATCTGCTATATATATCTGATAAGGGATTTAGATCCAAAATTTTAAGAAGTTCTCATAGTTCAATAAGAAAATCATGCTTTTTCTTTTTAAATGAGAAGGCTTGAGGCATTTCAGAAAAGAATATGCTCAAATGCTTATGTGAAAAGATGATCATTAGTAATCAGGAAATGCAAAAGAAAACCATGATAACACTTCTCACCTATCAGAATGGCTTAAAAAAATGTTACAAATGAACAATGGAAAAGTTGGTAAGGACGTGGGGCAACAGGAACCATTATTGCATCTTGGTGGTGGGAACGTAAAATGGCAAGAAGCTTTTCAGAGGCCGAAGTGAGAGGACTGCTTGAGCTCAGGGGTTCGAGAACAGCCTGGGCAACTTGGTAAGATCTCATCTCTACAATAAATCAAAAATAATAAGCTGGGCGTGGTAGCACGCCCCTGTAGTTCTGGTTACTTGGAAGGCTGAGGTGGAAGGGTCACCTGAGCCCAGCAGGTTGAGGCTGTGGTGACTATGAGTGTGCACTGCACTCCAGCCTGGGCGACAGACTGAGACTCCAACTCAAAGAAACAAAAGTCTTGCAGTTCTTTCATGCAGCTAAAACATACACTTATCATTTGATCCAGCACTCCACTTCTAGGAATCTATCCAAGAGAAATAAAAAGATAGGTCCACCAAAAGACTACAAGAATGCTTAGAGCAGCTTTAGTCACACTAGCTCAAAACTGGAAACAACCCAAATGTTTTTTAACTGGAGAATGAATGAACAAAGTGTTGTATATTGATATCATGCTGTATTATCCAGCATTAAGAGTGAACTACTATTAAATGCAACATAGATGAATCTCAAAAACATTATACTGATCAAGAGCCAGACACAAACTAACATCCTGTGTGATTTTACTTACATGAATTTCTAAAACTGACCAAACAAATCCATAGTGCCAGAAAGCTGATTAGATTAGTGATTGCCCAGGGAAGAATGGAGGGGTATTAACTTCAAAGGGGCACTGAATCACATAATTAAAATGCATGCATACTTATATATAAAGTATACTTCTGCAAAGTTTAAAGAAATTGAAAATTCTAATTAGAAAATAAAATATACGGTATATGCTATATATTATTAGAACATTTTGGTACTGATTAACTTCATGCTTTAAAAACACGTATAAGCTGGGCACTGTGGTACATGCCTGTAATCCCAGCTACTCGGGAGGCTGAGGCGGGAGAATCAGTTGAGGCCAGGAGTTTGAGACAAGTCTGAACAACATAGCAAGACCTGTCTCTCCAAAAAAAAAAAAGTATAGACAGTATCTTTCTAGACTTAAATTGAAAAATAAGGATGGCCAATTTAAAACAAAATAGATAGACTGGGTGTGGTGGCTCACATATGTAATCCCAGAACCTTGGGTGGGAGGTCTAGGTGAAGGATTACTTGAGGCCAGGAGTTAAAGACCAGCCTGGGCAACACAGTGAGACCCCGTATCTTAAAAAAATAAAAATAAATAAATGAAGTAGGTAAAAATTCCATGAGAACACTACCCAATACCAACCAAAAGAAAGGTGTTTAACATGTTTTGGAATAGTCTTTGGTCCATCATATGAACTAAGTCCTCACTGAAAAAGAATATCCTAATAAGAAATGTTAGAAAATTAGGTTGAATAAGCAGAATGGAATCCACTCTGGTCCTTAGTATGCATATTCTTCCTTGAGCAACTATGGTGTTTCCAGTCTTCCAAAGTAATTATTGAACACTAAGTTTGATATAGTATTAATCTTGTTTCACAATGTGATCCTCCTCAAGAACAGGCAGTGACCATGTCTCATATTTCTTTGGTATCCTCCCAAGTACTACAGACATCAGATACTCTAACTCCTGTTACTTATGAATTTCTAAGTATGCTACAAAAATGAATAAGGGGTGCAGTGCCTCTTTAACCAGTCAACCTACTTAGTCAAGACACAGCAACCAGAATTACGCTCAACACATAGGATGGGAAAGTTCTTGATGTCTACAGCCTAAGACAATAAAAATTACAACCTCACATATAGATGGAATAAGAAATGTTAGGCAGAAGCAGAGTGAAAAAAGATCTCAGGGAGTTAAGGGGAAGAGGGAGGGTTGATGGTCATGACAGAGAGTCAAGAATCAAAGGAAAGAAGTGTTATGAGGCTTTTAATGACCATCTTTAAGAAGATTTAAAAGCATAGCAAATGAAATGAGGAAATGTGAGTGAACCCTCTCTAAAATAGATATATTTAAGAAATAAGGAACCAAAACCAAGGAAAAGTATTTGCTACTTTGATACAGTAAGTCACTTGACAGAGTTAATATTTTACACATTTAAATAAAAAGCAAATGTCTTAATATCAGTCATTTAATCATTAATAATGCTTAGTATGACATGGACTACCTCAACCATATCCAGCATAGATCTAAAATAATTTCTAAATATTTTCAAGTTTCAAATCATGTGAGAAGAGCAAAAAGAGAAGAAAAGCAAAACAAAGTTTCAGTGGGAAAAAAAGAAGAGAAAAACATGAGCACTCAAATTTGCTTCCCTGTAAATGCGGAATACCTACAGAGAAAAGTGGGTAAACCCTTAAGAGTTTGCTGATAACTTTGGTGGGGGTCTCCTAATTCCCCTGATAATGTCACAGACCCATGTGAAGATTAAGGAAGCTTTAAGGAACCCCAAAGGTTACTATATGTTTGGGGCAACAACAGGAAGTGTATTAGGAATAACAAGAAAGGCCACTGCCTTGGAGAGCACCATAGTCCAACCAGTGGCAACCATGGCAATTCTTGAGCAAGCGATATTGAAGAAGCAACAATCAGTGAAGAAACTCAAGCTGACATAGCTTTCAAGCACCAGGGAGGTTAGACCAGGACTGCTTCATGTTTATCTTCACTAGAATAGTACAACAGTAGAGCAACTTTACCTTTGGATTCTTGCCTTCTTTGGCCAATAATGCCCGAAGTCTTTCTTGTGAAGGGGGTGCAATGAAGATAATATATGGTTTCAAATCTGAATTTCGGAGGGTCTTCAATGACTGTAAAGAAAAGATACTTGTATTTTAAAAATAATTTCCATTATTTAATTATTTCTCAATAGTATACTTGGAATATAAGGCTGTTTTTAAAATATTGCCTACAAGTGTTTCCAAACATCTTCATAACAAACAGTTCACAATAGTTTAAGATCCTACCATTTTACTGTAAGTATACATTTTATAGCTATAAATATATATACATGTATTATTTTAGCTTGCCCTTTTATGCAATGAAATATACATGAATGATGCTGAAGGATGACAACTATGTGATGCTGAAAAGATCATATATAGGTTATAAGAATCATATTAAAAATCCATTTTGAAGGAATCAGAATTGAGGCAGTTGCCTTACTCTGTGCCAGGCACTAAATACAAGTGAAATCAGGGAGATAAATTTCACATACATGTGCAAAAGAAAATTCTGGAAAGGTACATCCAAGAAAACGCAGACTGAATTAGGAGACTATGGTTTTCACTTTATCTCTACCACTGCATGACTGCATGTCCTCAAACCAAAGTGCTATACCAAAATGGAGATTATGGGGATATGTTCATTTCTGTCTAAAAACATGATCATTACAAAATACTTCATTAGTCTGAGTTCTTTGTTAAGATCTGTTAGCCCAAATAATATAAAGAATTCTGAAGGAATTTAGTAAAAACATATTTCTCTTAAATCAAATGTTAATAACTGATATAGTAGAGCCTAAGTACATTTACCCACTAAAAACAACAAACCCCAATTACTATTTTAAGATAGTCATTTCAGAGTCAATTCTCCTTTATGTACATGTCTTTAATGACTACTGACTGCGTTGCCTGAGTTGATATGAGCAGCAGATTCTGCCATATCAAGCTAAGTTTTCTGCTATATGGTATAGAAAAGTTAAAAAATTTCATAATAAACACAATCTTAAAAACTCCAAGTTTCTCAAACTACTTTATCTTTTTAAATAGAAATCTAAGAGGCACTGGTTAGTAATTTTACATTTTTGTTTAGTCTTCAAATAACCAGAACTAGTGGAGGCTTCATTATTTACATAGAAGCAAGCATTCATTGTAACACTTGTTAATATTTCAACAATGGCATTTAAATCATTAATATGATCTCTGAATTTTCTGATTTTTCTATGATCAGAATGAGAAGGGAAATTCTTTTGTAGCCACTAAAATACGTAAAGTACTACCAGTTCTATATTTACTGTATCTTAAATTTCAGAAAATATATAAACGTGTATACATGCCAAACATTCCTAATCCAAAAATCCAAAACTTTCGGAGCACTGACATAATGCCACAAGAGAATTTCACACCTGACCTCATGGGGTGGGTCACAAAAAAACACAACTACAGTTTGTTCAGTGTCCACAAGGAAAAATAAAATTATCTTTAGGCTACGTGTATAAGGTATATATAAAACATAAATGAATTTCATTGTTAGAGTTGGGTCCTAGTCCCAAGATATCTCATATATATATATATATATACACACACACACACAAATATTCCAAAATTTAAAAAACAAAACAAGACCAATAAAACCCCTAAATTTGAAACACTTTTGGTCCCAAGCATTTTGGAAAAGAGATATTCAACCTATATATTTAAGTATGTATGTATTTTCCCCTTGGAAGAAACTAAAAGAGATTTAGCAATCTGTCTGATTTCACATAGCTAATCAGTAAGCAAAATTGTATAACTTAATTAGGTCCTGTTGTTCTTGAACCGAAATACAGTTTCCACTAGATTACTTTGTACGACATGTCCTCTAAGTTCAAACCCTAAACCAAAACTCTAGTTTTACCTGGGTACGAAGACTTAAAAGACATATTTTGCCGGAGTTGATAACTTGCCGTACAGAATCTATGCTGGTTCCATACAAATTTTTTTCAAATTCACCATGCTCAATGAACTTTCCAGCAGCTATGTCTGCCTCGAATGCTTGACGTGAAACAAAATGGTAATCTCTACCAGCTACTTCATGGTCTCGTCTACTCCGAGTTGTATCTGGGCAAACAAAATCAGATAATAATAATAGGCACGGATTAGAGTGAAGGTAGGGGATAATTCGGCTAGTGAGAAATAATTTTTATTTTGTAGCACAGATTACAAAATAATGAATGGAGGAAATGTTAAAAACATAAATGTTTAACACTTTTTATTTACTGATTGAAAAATGAACAAAAATGTGTTTGTAGTATTTTTAGTACTATAATAATAGTTACATTTAATTGCCTTAATACATTTTATGGTTACACTTGCAATTGCTTCATCTTGCATTTAAAACAATGCCATTTATCTTTTCCTAAAGTTTATTTCCATAAGATCAGGTACTATATAATCTTAAAACAGAACTTCACAGACGTTATGTCTAAATTTCCATCTTCAGCATCAGTTTAAAGAAGCAGGTGCTGATTCCCTATAGAACAAGAAACTAACTTTAAGGGGCCCAAACTGAAATATATTTAGGAAATAATTAGTATATACCATATTCTAAGAAAAAAATTTAAATTTTTTAAGAATGAGTAGGTTTAATTTTAATAACAAATTGTCGAAATATTTGGATAAACAGAGTTTGTATTTCATTGATAACCTTGTTTTGATGAAATGGATGAAAACTATCCCTACATAATGTAGTTAGGTTTTGAGGTTACAGAGTAAAAAGCACAGGAAAATAGGAATGCATCCAAACTCACGAGGAACTGCAGATGCAAAGCGGTCCTTTTCTTTGTTCATGAGCCTCTGACGCAATTCATTCTGGCCACAGTTCTGTGGACCAATCAATATGATAGGTCTTTTCCTATTCGCTGGCTGATGATAAAGTGACATTTCCTCATAGGTTAAGATCTCTTCATTGTCATAATCTTTGGGGGAAAAAAGTTAAGTCTTTCAGACAGAATTACTGCCATGTAATAAATATCTACATACTCATAGATCTTCCCCCAAAACTGGAAAGCACAATTTATTGTCATTATATCATTGCCAAGACACTATGAAAATGAATCAGACAACAAAATATTACTGCTTCTAGAAACTTTTATCATATTTCATCCTGTATTTGAATATCTAATACCATGTAATCATACTGATCTTATATAAAATAACTAGTTTGCAATCAATACTTTGACAGAAGGTAGGATACCAGGGGATAAACTAGTAAGAATAATATCTTTTTTTTTTTTTTTTT